CATCTGCCATCTTTAACTAGTCTGACCTACATATGACTCCACGCCCACTACAATCCCAATGAGTCTTACTTGCTCTCTGAAATGGCTAAGTTAGTTCAGTTGGCTGGATGGCTGGTTTGCTATGGAAAGTAATGCCTACAGCACAGGTTCAATTCCCAATTGAGGGCTAAGGTCACTGTGAAGGTCCTGCCTTCTCAACCTTACCCCTCACTTAAGGTGTGGTGACCCTCAGGTTAAACTCACCACCAGTTCTCTCTCTCTCTTCCCCCCCCCCCCCCCCCCGCTCTCTAATGCGAGAATAACCTATGATCCTCTAGAACAATGGCAACTTTCAGTTCAAACCATTTAGCTTAATCAAAGCCTGAGCAGAGAAATGAAACCATGCAGCATTGACCTAAGTACTGAAGTTCAACAACAATCGCAATCCAGCCCTGGCAACCCTTAAAATGTCTTCCTTTGTAACATCTGGGGGCTTCTGCCAAAACTGGGAGAGCTGTCCCATAGACTCATCAAACTCACAGAATGATACTTTCCAGACACTGAGTGAAATTTTCACAGCCCCAGTTGACATGAGCAATGGTGGTCATTTGGAAAACTATGACAAGTTTAGAAAAATGAGACTCCTGAACTTGAGAAAAAAGTCTGATCTTCCACACAAGATTTGTATGACGATATGAGAATCTTGCTAGTGCGCCATGCACCAGTATCACCACATCATCATGGCGCATCGCTGACTCACTCAGAAGCTAGGTCTCCAATGCTGTACTTCAAAGTGTATCAACAACTTTCATCGTAATGCTGCTGCAGGTAGCATTGTGCACAGATACAGATATTCACTTCATGCATTGGAGTAGGGTGTAGAATCATAGAATCCCTAGAGTACAGAAAGAAGCCATTCAGCCCATTGAGACTGCACTTACTGTCTGAAAAGCATCCCACCCAGCGTTGTGTGGCAACCTTTAGAATTGCATAACTGATGGGATCAACAGGGGGTGTGAGAACAAAATGAAAACAAAGGTTTCGCTGGTTACCTAGATTAATTGGCTCACTCTGATTCACTCTGTGAAGCTTGACTTGCATTGACTTCCCTTCTCATCTAAATCACAGATGTGCAATGGAAATGCAAATGGCTGCCACAACATGTGGAGTGGGTAGAGTAGTTTTTTTGTTCCTTCTGCTGACACAGGCTCTATTTGTGAACAATACAAGGCACTAAAGGGGTAACTGCATCAATGAGGCACTGATTAAGTATAGACGGAAGCCATCTGTAATTATAGTACTCAGCATATTGTACTGAGTGTACAGTGACTAACAATGTGGGATGCTAGTCAATACAGTGTGGAGCTGGTCAGGCAGCACCAACTCTCCTGCTCCTGTGATGCTTCGGATGGGGGAATCATCCTGGTCACAATTGATTTTGAACATTACAAATTGAACATAGTCATCCCTGAGAAGCAGAAGCAATCACAGGAAAATGTCTCCTGTTGGTTACAATTCACAAAGATAGTGCAAGATCTCATAGACTGGACAATAGCACAGAGCTAATGTCTGCTTACCTTGAACTAACAGTACTTGACAACATGCTCTTCAATGTAATGCTGGTTTTCTCAGAGGATGGACAGGTGGTGGGGGTGCAGCTGTGTTCCTGAAAAAAGTTCCTGTAATCCTAGATCTGTTTCTTTGCATTTGCATAATGTGGCTTGTGCTGCATTTATTGAAATAAAGTCTACTAGGTCAAAGTTCCATGTACACTCATTCAGTGACCCCTCTTGTTGGATTCCTCTGTATCATTTGTGTGTGATGTGAATGCTGACTACTGTCAGTAATAAGAATCTATTCTGTCGCTAACATCCCCCACACGGCCTCATTGGAACCATGACCAATGGATCCAGCCACAGCAGTGATCTTTATCACAGTTGTTGCAATGCAATGAAGGCACAGAGAATTGGAGTAGGAACAGATGCCTCAGCAAGTCCAGAACCAGTAACAAACTCCAATAGCTTCCCTGCAATTTCTTCATGAAGAAATCAGAGCTAAAGGTGCCCTCAGGATGTGGAGGAGATACAGGAGGTCCAGAATCTATCGTGCTCAATGCTTTATCCTCCAAAAGAGCATTTTCCCCACAGGCTGAGGGTATCCCAGAGCACTGTCACAGAACTGTTATCAGCTGGAGTGGGACCTGTGATCTGAAGGGCTGAGTGGCCATCCTATCCCATTAGTTATCAAGGTGACAGCTACGTTAACTTTTTATGCAAATGCCTGCTCCCCAGGATCTACTGAGAACCCGTGTGGGATCTGTTGGTCTTCAAAATACAAATATATCAAGGTTGTTACTGATGTGATTTATATCAAATCACACAACTTCATCTTGTTTCCCAGGGACGAGATTGGTGCTGCCACGCAGGCAGCAGACTTCGGTAACACAGCTGTCTTCTCCCAGATGCAGAGTGTTGTAGATTATATACATGTTGCCTTGAGAAGGCCATATCATAATGTAGCTGAGTTCATCAACAAAAAAGGGTTTAATTCCATCAACATACAGATCATCTGTAAGCATCACTACCACATCTCTGTGCCAGGCAAGTCCTATTTGACATAACAAAGTGTGGAGCTGGAAGAACACAGCAGGCCAGGCAGTATCACAGGAACAGGAAAACTGATGTTTCGGGTTGGGACCCTTCTTCAGAAATCTGTTCCTCTGATGCTGCCTGGCCTGCTGTGTTCGTCCAGCTCCACACTTTGTTATCTCTGACTCCAGCATCTGCTATCTCAGGTCCTATTTGACACCAAGTTCCTATAGATCTGAGTTGAGTAAAGTGATCATTTATTGAGTGTAAATTTGTTGTTGATCAAAAGGCACTTGTTTATTCTCAGTATTGTAGCTTATTTTTGTTCGTTTGTTTTCCTTCTGTTTTGCTATTATTAAAGAAAAGTGAAAGTTTTCAACTGTTTGAAGACTTTCCAATATGTGATGCTCCCACTTTGAACAATGACAAGATGTCATGCTATGCTGGGCATTAAGGGAAAAGCACCTCTCTCTTAGACAGGACACTAACATGGGATTGTGTTAAGGATGAGTAACCTGTGCAGTTTTATTCTGCTAACTGCAGTTACAATGACAGTTTATCAGACAGTTGCTGATGTAATATAGCACTATGTATAGGAATATTAGCTACTAACTTGAACGAAATGCCATCTGGGCCACCTATGTGCTCTCTCAAGCTTTTCTTTTTGTTTTTCACCCTCTACATGCACTGTGAAGGCTGTTCATGGCTGGCAGCAATTGACCTGGTGCCCAGCTGGGCTTTAAATATGATGTCAATGGCAGAAATTCTGGAAGGTCCTAGCAGTGGCAAGTACCTCTGCTGTTTGTGAGTGTAAGTTAGTGTGAGAATGGCACCACGGAGGCATGGTGCATATATAATGAGGTGACTAGTCTAAAAATGTGAGAGATCACTCACTACAGGGCAAGATACCCTCATGAAACTCCCCAAAATTGGCAGTCAGCCCATTTTCGGTAAAATTCAGCCCACTCTCCCAGGCATCACCATCACTCTGCCTGGGTATGTCCTGCAAATATGCAGGAAGGCCTTAGTAGAGATCACAACACAACTGTATAGTTGAGAGGGAGGTGCCCTGGGAGTTCTCAACATTGTCCCAACCATATCCAATCCAAAAGAACAATTCAGCCTCCGCACAGGGATCTCAATCCGTGGTTATGCGCATCTGTTCAACATAATTGAGCCACAACTGCAATCTTCTGATTCCTATTCATTATCCTTACTTTAGTGAACATCCAGTGTTAGCCATATTGTACACTGGCTTCACATGTCTATGTAATCATAGTTTTTCTAGCACTGCTTCAAGCTATGGTTATCGCTCGCCTTAGACTAGCCTACAGTTTTTGAAGGGAAGTTGCATTATGGCTGGACCGGGTGCTGGAAGTAACTTATCTATTCTTTCATTGGATGCATGTCTCTGGGACTAGGTCAGTATTTGTTGCCCATCACTTATTTCCCTGAGGAGGTGGTAGGGAGCTGTCATTTGGAGCTATGTAGCCCAAGTGGTGTAGCTATAACCACAGTGCTTTTAAGAGGAGAATTCCAAGATTTTGGAACCATAGTCCATGGTTTGGAGGGGAATTCAGTGAGTAGAATGTAATGTAAGAAAGAGAGATGAACAGTTAAACATGCAACGGCACATGTACTATGGCAGAGAACAGAAGATGCAGGTAGTGAGATAACAAACACAAGAGGTATACACAGTAGGAGCAGAGGATAAGGGTGGTGCAGATGCCATCCTACCAGAAGGCAGGGTTACACATGAGTTCCACTGGAGAGAACTCTGATGAGCCTTTCAATGGTTCAGGCTGCACAAGGATAATTATGAGCCTAAACAGGAACATGTCTGATATATTGGGAAGTTTGCCAGAAGTCCGATGTTCAATGTCAAGAAGCATGAAGCAGTCGCTACAGAGACTTCACCGAGCAAGTCACTCATCCTTCTCAACATGCAAGTGACAGCCAGCTCTACGAACACCCTTTTGGGCTCAAACATGATGCAACATCTTATGACTTGGTCACCTTCCGCTGTAGCCCGGACAGCTTCCACCGAAGGTCTGAGTTCAGTGCTGCAATTATCACAGCAGCAGATTACATTATTCAAAGGGCTTGCTTAGTTTGCGGAGATGCCAGCCTGGGGACGCTGCAGTGGCTCCACTACAGTACTCATGGCTCACCATCCTAGCACTCTTTTCAGTCAGTGCACTTGCTGGTGTCTGTCAGCCTACCAGCCAGTCCCATGCTAAAATGATACACAGTCTGAAGCTGGACCACAGGCTCTCAGAATGATTCTTCAAGGCCATCTTCAGTCTCCTCCACTGAAAGTCAGCCACCATGCTGCAGTGACTGTGGTAGCAGGGTATAGGAGCACTAAGACAGGCAAAGGTACAGGGGATGCACGAAGGTGATTAGTTTCATTTTGTGCACAAAATGGTTTGGTTTAATTTATAAATTTGATTTGACATATATATTTTGCATTGGCTTTTATCTTTAAAACAGGCCAAGAGGGCAATGTGGTGATCAGTGAAAGAGAGAATGTAAAATGAATGCGAGAGTTAATGAATTGGAAATGAGCATATCACACTTGAACAAGTTCTTCACGTACAGTTGGGCAATAACTGGCTATCTAGGTTGTAGCCTTCCTTCCCTTTGCTCCTGTTTGCTTCTCCTTATCTTGACCCTCCTTGCACTCCTGTTCCTTGATTTCTCATCTGTTAGCTGCTGGTAGAGGCTATTCCTCCCTGATACCAAGATTGTACACCCTACATTCCAATGTAAACATGAAAAAAAAAACATGGTTAATTTTATATCCTTCATTAAAAGTTAAAATAAGAATGATTATTCAAAAGCTCTGTAAATCAAAAATGATTTCTTTTTTCTACAGCTAACAAATATATACAGTATAACCTTTAGCAGAAAGGCAGCCAAACCTGGATTTTAACTGACTTTTGTTTCATAGTTGCTAAAATATGAAAGTAACAATGGTCACATTGGTTAAATCTTAAGACCATGAGAAATTGGAGCAGAAGTAGGCCATTTGGCCTTTCCAGTCCAATCCATCATTTAATGAGATTATGGTTGATCTGATATCTTTAACTCCACTTTCCTGCCTTATCCCTGTATCCTTTAACTCCATTTTCCTGCTTAATTCCTGTAAACCTTGATTTCCTTACTGATTAGAAATTTGTTCATCTCAGCCTTGAATATATTTAATATATTTAACCTCAACAGCTCTCTGCGGTAAAGAATTCCACAGATTCACCATTCTCTGAGATAAATAAATTCATCCTCACCTCTGTCTGCAAGGAGCGACTCTTTACTCTGAGATTATTCCTTCTGATCCTAAATTCTGCCGCAAAGGGAAATAACTTCTTGCATCTATCAGTCAAGCCTCCAAAGAATCTTATAAGTTTCAAAAAGATCCCCTTTCATTCTTCTAAACTCAATGGATATAAGCCCAACACACTTGACCTCGCCTCATAAGAAAATCCCTCCATTTCCAGGTTCAACCTTGTGAACCCTCTCCAAACAGCCTTCCATGTTAGTATATCTTTCCTTAGATCAGGAGACCAAAACTGTTCACAAAAGCATTGTAGAACGAGTTTGATTATTGTCTTGTACAATTTTAGCAAGGCCTCCCTGTTTTTATATTTCATTTACTTTGAAATATCAATGCTTATTTGCCTTCCCTACTGCTCGCTATACTCAGATGCTAGCTTTTGGTGATGAGGACCCCTAATTCACACTTACTGCAGAATTCTGCGGTCTTTCCACATTTAAATAATCTTTAGCTTCTCTATTCTACCTGACAATGTGCATGACCTCACATTTAGCCACATTATATTCCATTTACCCAGCTTTAGTTCACTCACTTAACCCTCTGTAGACTGGTATCCTTACAACCTGCCTTCCCAGCTAATTCGTTTCATCTGCAAATTTGCCAATAGTACATTATTTGTATCACCTAAGTCATTATTATATACTGTAGACAATTGTGGCCTGAGCACCGATCCCCTCATAAAACAAATTCTAATATTTATCACATATAAAGCCAGCTGGCACTGCAGAAAACCACACAATCAGTCAAAGCACAGCTCAACTGTCTCCTCTGGCAACAACAGCATTCAGACCATACACACACAAACTATAAATATGCATACATATAGGAATAGCTTTGATTCAGATTATTTATATCAGTGATTACACAGTCATAAATCACAATCTAAAGTACAGTAATTCTGGTGCAGGACCATGTGAGTGGCAATAAAATTGTAACGGATGGCTGAGAGTAATGATATTGCAATGGAAATTTACAGGATTACTTGTTTATGATTCTAAAAACAATCGAATGAGCCCTCAACCATTTGAACTTTGACCTGGAAAATGGGCCGTGTCCAAAAACAGGTGGGAGCAGAGGTGGTAGTGTGGGGGCTTCCTACAGTCTGGTGCCTTTTCATGTTGTATGAATGAAATGCGTGAAGCATCGGAGCCATCCAATTTTACCAAACAGGTCAAAGTCTAGAATTTCAACTCAATTGTATCAATTACCTTTGACTTTCAGCTCTTATGTCTCAACGCTGCGAGCAGCAGGCTGATGCACATTGCAATCTTAGCTGAGTTGACGGGATTATGCATAAATGGAGATGTCTTTTAATTCATTCACAGTCTAATTGACTATTAAAAAGCTACGATAAGCTGCCTTTTTGAATAAAACTGAGTGGCTTGGTATTCTATTTTCAGATGGCAATTAAGAGTACAGGAGCACACACAATCTGACTAGGTAGACAGATCACCTTCCCAAAAGGCCAGTGGTTTACATTGTCTCCACTAAGGATACTTATTTTGCATTTATTGAATTGATGGTATTTAAAATTCCCAAAGCTGTCATCGTGGGATTTGAACTCATCTCTCCAGACCATTAATTCAGACTTCTGGATTACTAATCATCTAACATAACTACTTACAACTGCACTCTCAGGATGTTCAGGATGGACAATGGATATTGAGAAAGGACAGCTTTCTGATTTAATGACCTCTGACTGCAATTACTGTTGTATGTAGACAGATGCAGCACTTTTCTCCGGCAATGTAAAGAAGAAACCTCTGGCTGTCACCAAGAAGGCATTTGGAAGTAGCTGAGGAGGAGAGTAGGAGTGATGGTGAAGGCCTTCACTAGACTGGAGTGGAATATGGAGGAGTCCATCCAACTTATGACTAAAGCCATGGCTCCAACATGTGTTTGGTTGCCTCCATGGAAAGGCTGTTTGCCACACTGGATACCAAGCACCAGAAGAACTCTCAGTGGCTGCTGGATATGCACTCAGACCTGTGCTCCATTGCTTCAGCCAAATGAGTATAGTATCATTGGCGAGGCGACTGGATGGACTACACCTCGTATTCTGCAGGAGATAGCTGAGGAGATTGTGGAGACAGTGTGGTGATCTTTCAGGATTCACTAGAGTCAAGGACGGTCCCAGAGGACTGAAAATAACACTCCTGTTTAAGAAGAGAGGGAGGCAGAAGACAGGAAACTATAAGCTGATTAACCTGACTACGGTCGTTGATGAGATTTTATAGTCCATTATTAAGGCTGAGTTTGCAGAATGCTTGGCAGTGCATGGTAAAATAGGGCTGAGTCAGCATGGCTTCATCAAGGGAGGTCATACCTAACAAATCCGTTAAAATTCTTTGAGGAGGTAATTAGCAAGTTAGACCAAGGTGAGCCAGTGGACAAAATTTATTTGGATTTCCATATGGCCTTTGACAAGGTACCGCACAGGAGGCTGCTAAATAAGGGCTTGTCAAATGAGGAGTGGTTGAGGACTCTGACACTGTACTCATTGGAATTTAGAAGAACAATAGAGGGCGAGGATCTCAGGGCACAGAGTGAAGAAATAACCCTTTAGAACGGGATGAGGAGGAATTTCTTCAGCCAGAGAGTGGTGAATCTGTGGAGCTCATTTCCGCAGAAGGCTGTGGAGGCCAATTCATTGAGTGTCTTTAAGACAGAGACAAATAAGTTCTTGATTAGTAAAGGGATCAAGGGTTATGGGGAGAAGGCAGGAGAATGGGGTTGAGAAACATATCAGCTATGATCGGATGGTGGAGCAAACTCAATGGGTTGAATGGCCTAATTCTGCTCCTATATCTTATCGTCTTATGGAGAGGCAGATGAGGCACTTCAACCTCATACCAGATGACCCTTTGTCTGGAGGCATACCATAACATGTACTAAGGGCTCTTGGGGTGTGTGGTAGTGTCCTTATCTCTGAGCCAGGTGTTCTGGGTTCAACTCCACCTGTTCCAGAGGTATTTAATAACAACTCTACAGAGGATGATTCAAAATATTTGTCACGATTAATAGGATGTTCTTCTAAGCTACAAATCACTCCCCCCCACCTGCCGTCAACACAAACTTACTCCTCCAACTTGGCTGATGCCTTTTAGACATGAAAGAAGAATTGAGTAGTTGGTTTCCAGTCAAGATGGTGACAGTCTTTGTGAAGTACCCAGTTCCAGCTGCCCCTGTCACTCACAGCATTTTCTATCTAACTCACTGCTTTGTTATCCCAGTTTCCCCTATGATCCTCCAGCCGGAATCCAGGAAGAAATGCAAATCAAGGTAGACACCTGCTACATGTGGTCAGTTATCTGAAACACCAAGTTTCTCAATTGAGGAGAGGTTGATTGGGCAGCTTGACTTAATTCTGGAAATTTGGGCATTCAGTGAGATGCTAATAGATGTAGATAAGCTTCTCAACAGCTGCTGACGAGAAGGTCGACTCACTTTTTGAGGCAGAGATCTTGATCGCCAAAGTTGGTGGTGAGATTCTGTTGCCTCTTTCCCAATTAAGTTCCCCACCAGCCATTGTTCTTATCTTCTCTGTAACCAAATATTCCACTCAATAATATGGGATAAAATTAATTGACATACGGGCAAATTAACTAAATAAAAGTTATCATGCATTTGTTACAGGAGAATTGTGTTTAGATTGTGTGAAGAAGAGAGGAAGAGTATTCATACAGGTAATGCATTTTATGTACCACTAGTTAACATAATTACTGCTTACGAAATTGAAGGGAGATTGGTAGCATGGGACTAGAATTGGTTAGGGTCGGAAAGCAGTTTGTAGTCGTGAACATTTGCTTTTCATAGTACCATGGTGTTGCACAAGAATTGGTAGGAGAATCACTTTTCTCTTTGTTAATATTAATAACCAGGAATTGGGCTTACAGTGTATAATTTCAAAGTTTGCAAATGGCACAAAATTCCAAGCTGTAGTTAACAAGGAGATGACAACAGACTCCAGATGGACACAGACTGTGTTTTCACTATTCCCTCTCATCATTCTTTCTCTGACCAAAAACAGTCCCCAGCAAACACTGCAGCTTCATTCCTTTACACAGTAATACAGCATGAAAACAGGCCCTTCAGCCCAAACTGGTCCATGCTGACCATGGTGCCCACTCAGCTTGTTCCAATTGCCTGCATTTAGTCCATATCTCTCTAAACACTTCCCATTCATGTACCTATTCAAACATTTTTTAAACTTTGTTATTGTACCTGCCTCAACCACTTTCTCTGGCAGCTCATTCCATAAATGCACCACTCTTTGCATGTAGAAGTTGCCCCTCAGGTCCCCTGCAAAAATAGTAGACTCGCCAACTTTAAGGGCATTTAAATGGTCATTGCATAAACATATGGATGATAATGGAATAGTTTAGGTTAGATGGGCTTCAGATTGGTTTCACAGGTCGGCGCAACATCGAGGGCCAAAGGGCCTGTACTGCGCTGTAATGTTCTATGTTCTATGTTCTTAAATCTTTCCCCTCTCACCTTAAACCTATGCTGTCTAGTTTTCAATTCCTTGTCCCTGGAAAGAAGATGATATGCATTCATCCTATCTATGCTCCTCATGATTTTATACATATCAATAAGGTCACCCCTCGTTCTCCACATTCCAAGGAATAAAGTCCTATCCTGGCCAACCTCTCCCTTTCACTCAGGCCTATTATGTTCAATATGCTGCAAAGACATAAATTACCTCCATAGCCCAATTTTTTTCATTCACTTGTGATTCCAGGGCATCACTGGCCTTGCTAAAATTCTCAGATCCCTTCATTAAAATTAGTTTTAAAATTCTCAAAATTTATCCTCCTATTAGCTATCATTTGTGTCAGTGTAATTTGCGTGAACATAAGTAAGACCATTGGAAATACGAACAGGAGTAGGACATTCAGCCCACAAGCCTGTTCCACTATTCTACAGGATCATGACTAATCTGACATTCTCCACATCCACTTTCTTGCCCTTTCCCTGTAAAGCTTGATTCCCCGACTGATCAAGAATCAATCTTTCTCCGCCTTTAATACACACAAGGCCTCTGCCCCCCACAGCTCTCTGTGGCAAGCAGTTCCAAAGTCTCCAACATTCAGAGATGAAATTCCTCCTTATCTCAGTCTTAAATTAGCACGCCTTTATTCTGAGACTATGCCCTCTGGTCCTAGACTCTCCAATGAGGGGAAACATCCTCTCAACATTTACTTTGTCAAGCTCCTTAAGATCACCTCTCATTCTTCTAAACTCCAGTGAGTAGAGTCACAAGTCACTACTAAATTACATCACTATTGATTGATTCCAAAATAGGTTATGAACTGTTTATCATTTCTGTCAATTAGTTTGTTTAAGCAATCCAATAATTTCTGATGGTAGATGCTATAAAATGCTTTCTCAAGCCGACAAAGCATGCAAACACAACTTCCAGAAATAAGATCATGACAAATAGGAACAATAGCCCCTCAAGCCTCCTCTGCCATTCAATTGGATCATGGCTGATCTGACATTCCTCACATCCAATTTTCTACATTTTTCCCATAACTTTTGATTCCCCTATTGATCGAGAATCTATCTATCACAGCTTTAAATATAAACAAGGACTCTGCCCCCACACCTCTCTGTGGCAAGGAGTTCCAAAGACTCATAACCCTCTGAGAGATGAAATTCCTCCTTATCTCGGTCTTAAATTGGTACCCCTTTATTCTGAGACTATGTCCTCTGGTCCTAGACTATCCCAGAGATAATCATCTGACAAGTGATTCATTTTTCAAAATTCATTCATTTAAATATATTTACCACCAGAAATCTTTGCCCATTTTTCAGGTTCATCTGTGTATCTGGTAAATCTGTTTTGGTTGCTTTGATGAGTTCTGCGCTGCATCTGAAATAGCCTGGTTAGCATCGTATCTTCACCATCACACTACAGACTGCCGTCTTCATTCAGGAGGAAGGGAAAACAAAAGGATCAAAATATAGTGAGTCAGCAAAAACCAACAAGGTCAGACTGCTTTTACACTTCATTTCTGCCATTGTCAACACCGTGATAATAGCATTGTGCCTTCATCATCTTTACTTAATTAAGGAATTAGTCATGTCATCTACCTGCAGCCCTGTCTAACGAACGGAACTGTTTGGTCTTGACAGTCAAACTTAGCACACCTCTCAACTTTGTAACATGCATCCTCTCAACTGTCAGCAAGGAAACTACAACATTAAAGCTCACTTCAAGAACCAACACTTGACATTGACAATTACTGATAGGCAAAATTGTTTCTCTTCCCCGGGACATAAAATATATTAACTTCCCTCCAACAGTCACTGTCAGGTATCTTTCCTCACCTAAGCATTGTATAACAATTTCTATAATAACTGAAGTAGTTGGATCAAGAGAAGGAAATCTGTCATGTAATAAGATAGTAAGGAGAAATGTTGGAAAATGTCTCTAGAGGATGGATTTGTAAGGAGCAGCAACTACCAGGCAAACTTGGTCCTCCCATCCCTGCTGCCCTGCCTCCTACACTTTGCGACCTGCTTACCTTTATCAGGACCACGGTCAGAGACAGTTGACCTGAAACCTTATGCTTCCGTTGGGTAAGTTGCTTGTGGTGTTGCCAGCTCAACCTGAATATTTACAAGGCCAGAGAAATAATCGATTGACATTCTTGGGCCTCCACCTTTGGGAATTAAGCAATTTCTACCCAACCACTACTGAATTGCTCATTGAGTACCGTAATCACTAGGCTACTTTTCTTGGCTTCTTTAATTAAACATTTTTGTGGTACTGTTTTGTTAGCCTGGAGAGAGAGAGGTGGCACTTAACAGCAACATTGACACATGGTCATAGTAAGCTGTGACTGTTTTGAAAGAAGTTCTCTCCACTAACATAACAATAAGCTTTCATTTTTAGGGAGAAAATGAAGAACTTACATTGATTTGTTATTCCACAGGATTTGTTAATTTGTTTTAATATCTCTAGTGCCCAAATTCCTCTAATATTTAATATTTAAATAAAATATTTAAACACAAAAATCTTAGTGTTGCAATATCTATGAATTACTGAATATGATATGAACTACTTCCTGGTTATTGACAACATTCAGCAGGGTACACTGACAGTTTCTTTGTGTGCTTTGGAAAGTTCAACATTTCTACATGCTCTGACCTTCTCAACAGACTTATCCCTAAATGATTTCACTTTGTTGTTGCTCTTGTAGAATATGATATAAATCTTTTTCAAATAAAATCATTAAATTGTAAACAAGTATTGTCTCAATTCCACCATTTTGATTCAAAAGTAATCGGAAAAGTCAGTGATACTTGATTTAAATAGATAATTTGTAGTGAACAGCCACCACTTCATTGCAATGGGCCAAAACCATCCAGAACCATACCAGCTCCCATTGATGCTAAGTCACTTGCAAACAATATACAGCAGAATCTGCAACAACTATACATAACGACAGACGGCAATCTCTCTGGCTAATTTGGGATTAATTTTTGGATGCATTCATCCTGCTAGAACTCCTGCATCAATCCACCTCTGTAGGTGGGCTGGTGGAGGTTCTATCCTTCACAAGGAAGACAGATTGGAAAATTCCCAAAACAGGAAAGACTGGACAAAATCCATGCCATTTCTGGTAGGTTTATTTGTTCCACAAAAGAAGTGTGACAGGAATCTGGTGTAAATCACCCAAAGGAAATTCATGTAATAATCTGCAAGGAAAGTAAAATTTGACTTACCCTCACCAGCAGCACAGATTCATCTGTTGTTCATGGACAGGGAACACAAAATGCTAATTTGAATAGCCCACTGGTACAGAAAAAAGTAGGCACATTTTTAATCAACCTGTCCAAGGATGTTGATACACACCTCTGGTGGGACATGAACCCAGATCCTCCGACCCAGAGGTAGTGACGTTACAAAAGCCAAGACTTTGGCTGGCAGAATGATGCCATAACATAAACTTGAGTGAACAAAGAGCATTCTGTTTGGAAATCAAACTTCAATTCAGGCAGGCAGGTGTGGATTATATTGTACCCTGATTCTGAAGCAAAGACAAAAACAACTTGATTTGTTTTTCTATTGTGTAGATTAATGATGGAAGGGGTCTGCACCAACCTTGAACACCTGATCATCATCCTGCTCAGGTTTACTGGACTGGCCTCAATATTTTGGTGGAATGGCAGCAATAAAACCACTGCTCATTGTTTCCCTGCTGCTCGGAGAGAGAATGTGAAGTCAGCAGCTTTGAAAGCATTGCTGCTGACTTAAAAAGCACAACGTTTCTTGTAGTGAATAACAGATGACAGTAAATGAGGAAGGAAATCACTGTTGGAGTCAATAGCAGGGAAGTTTATTGATGGATGCGCTTTCACAGAAATAAGGTCCAGACCAGAAAAATGCGATATAGGATGCAGGAGCAGCACTAAGTCAGTCACCCCACTGGGCCTGATCCAGCATTCAATAAGACTGTGGCTGATTTGGTTCTGCTCTTATTCACAATTCCTAGCTGTCCAACCTAATTCTTGGCTCCCCTGTCCATTAAAAATCTACCTAACTCAGCCTTGAATAAATTTAAAGACCCAACTTCCATTGTTTTCTGAGGAATATAATTCCACAGACTAATCACCCTCCTCATCTGTCTTAAAGTGAGACTTCTTATTCTTAAACCGTGGGCCCTAGTTTTAATCTCCCCTACGAAGGGGAATTTCCTTGTGGTATTCACTCTAACAAGTGCCTTCAGGATCTTGCAGGTTTCAACAAAATCATCTCTCATTCTTTTAAACTCTATGTGTATAGGCCCAATTATACCAGGAATAATTTGGATGAACCTTTTCAGATCTGCTTCTAAGATAATTACAGGTATATTGTTTTCAAATAAGTAGATCAAAATTATAAGCAGTTTTCCAGATGTGGTCTCACCAAATCCCCAACAGTTGCAGTAAAACTTTCCTACTTTTATATTCTATTCCTCTTGTAATTAACAACATTCTATTTCCTTTCTAACAACTTGCTGTACCTGCAAACTAACATTTTGTAATTATGTACCAAGACAGATGGATCTCTCCGTACTCAGACGTCAGCAATTTCTCTCCATTCAGATCTATACTGCTTTTCAATTCTTCCTGACAAAATGGACAAGTTTACATTTTTGCACATTGTACTCCATTTGCCAAACGTTTGCTCACTTACTTAGACTGTCTATTACCATACAGACTCTAACCTCCTCTTGACACTCACTTTTCCACCGATCTGAGTGTCAGAGGCAACTTTACCTAGAAATGAAGGTTTCTGCAGAGCTAAGGACAGAAAGCACAGAACAAAGTTGAGACTTTTCTGGAGAAAGGTGGTATAGCAATGGCAGAAAATTCAATTACTTCAAAGTTGGCGAAGGTAATTGAAAGGACTATTCTTGACTCACATCAAGTAGATTGGATAGAGACATGACAAAATTTCTTACTGCTGACCTTCCAGCTGACAAGAAAAGTAACCAATTCATTGGTACTATCTGGAACAAACAGTGCATCATGTTAAATCTAGTAGATTACATGTAACAAGAGGTTTTGCCAATAGCAAAACAGAGGTGTGTAGGGGAGTCTCCATCTTTCTGGCTATGTTGTATATGGGTCTGAAAGGGCTAATACTTGATAGAGTGCAGCAAGCATCACCCACTGGGATGATGTCACGAGGACGTGGTCAGAGTAAATATGAGCTAATAGGAGACGGACTTACGGCTAGTGTGCTTCCAATAGTTTGTAGTAATGTGAGTCACATTCATGTAATCTGTAAAGAGTTGCAATAATTCAACAAACTTGCAATTATTTATTTCACAAGATGCTTATATAGTTATAAAGTCATATAGCACGGAAACAGACCCTTCAGTCCAACCAGTCCATGCTGAACATAATCTCAAACTAAACTGATCCCACCCACCTGCTCCTGGCCCATCTCCCTCCAAACCTTTCCTATTTTGTATTTATTCAAGAGTCTTTTAAACGTTGTAATTCTGCCCACATCCAACACTTCCTCAGGAAGTTCATTCCACAAGTGAACCACACTCGGTGTAACAAATTTGTCCCTTATGTCTTTTTAAAGTCTCTCTCCTCTTGCCTTAAAACCTTATCCATGCTAGACTATTTTGAGCTTGAAGAAACTCACTGAGGCAACATGGTGAGCAGCAGTGTACTGCCAATGATGGGGCCCCATGCAATTTAGAAATTACCAATGACAAGCAATATTTCTCATTGATGCTAAGAGAAGTTAGCCTTTCAGACCTTCAAAACAAAGGAAAGAGAAAACATGCCAGTAGACTGTAAAAGAAACAGATATGTCTGATTGCTAATGACAGCGAAGCTCACAATCCCTGTGACAATAGTCATCACAGAAGTATACTTCAGAGTACTACACAGAAAGCATGATATCCATCCACAATGACCGAAAACATGCAAGAAGAGAAGAAGTCTGCAGCTCCAAGGCAAAGGTACATTGTGAGGCAGTGGACTGTGACAGTGATCCCAAGTCTGAGCTGAGCTGGTGAGCTGATCAGACACTAAGGACTGCCTGGGTTAAAGCCAAAAACCCATTTTACAAAAAGGAAATCTTAAATGGTGCAGTAATTCAGGCTGAAAGAGCCACAACTTAAAAAAAAACAAGTTGTAGCTCCAATCAAGCTTTGTTCACATATACCATGAGGTATAAACATATAGATGTACTATGAGGCAGGGCACAATAATCTTGTCAGGCTGAAGTTTGTTACTGAATTTACTTTGTAGAAGTACTAGGAACAAGGTCAGGCTAAAGTAGTCTCAGAGCTTGAGACTCTAGTTAGACACTGCAGAAAGGTTAGAAATTCTATATAATTTATTGATCATATTTATAAGAAAGAAGGTTATAAATGCATTTGAGGCATAATCAGATTTTGATAAGTTTAGAA